GGACATGGACGTGGACGTGGAGGACTTGGACGTGGACGTGGACGTGGTCGTGGACGTGGTCGTGGACGTGGACCTGGACGTGGACGTGGACGTGGACGTGGACGGGACATAGACTTGGACGTGGACGTGGACTTCGACGTGGTCGTGGACGTGGACGTGGACGTGGACTTGGATGTGGACGTGGACTTGGACGTGGACGTGGACGTGGACGTGGACGTGGACTTGGACTTGGACGTGGACGTGGACTTGGACGTGGTCGTGTACGTGGACGTGGACGTGGATGTGGTCGTGGACGTTGACGTGGACGTGGTCGTGGACTTGGATGTGGACGTGGACGTGGACCTGGACGTGGACGAGGACCTGGACGTGGACGTGGACCTGGACGTGGACGTGGTCGTGGACGTGGACGTGGACCTGGACGTGGACGTGGACTTGGACGTGGACGTGGACGTGGAGGACTTGGACGTGGACGTGGACGTGGTCGTGGACGTGGACGTGGATGTGGACGTGGACGTGGTCGTGGACATGGATGTGGACGTGGACTAAGACGTGGACTTGGACGTGGACGTGGACGTGGGCGTGGTCGTGGACGTGGACGTGGACTTGGACGTGGATGTGGACATGGACTTGGTCGTGGACTTGGACGTGGACGTGGACGTGGTCGTGGACGTTGACCTGGACTTGGACGTGGACGTGGTCGTGGACGTGGACGTGGATGTGATCGTGGACGTGGACTTGGACGTGGACGTGGAAGTGGACTTGGACATGGACGTGGATGTGGATGTGGACGTGGACGTGGACGTGGTCGTGGACGTGGACGTGGACCGGGACGTGGTCGTGGACGTGGACGTGGACGTGGACGTGGACGTGGTTGTTGACGTGGACGTGGTCGTGGACGTGGACGTGGTCGTGGACGTGGACGTGGTCGTGGACGTGGACGTGGACGTGGTCGTGGACGTGGACGTGGACGTGGACGTGGACTTGGACGTGGACGTGGACGTGGACGTGGACGTGGTCGTGGACGTGGACGTGGTCGTGGACGTGGACGTGGATGTGGACGTGGTCGTGGACGTGGTCGTGGACGTGGACGTGGTCGTGGACGTGGTCGTGGACGTGGACGTGGACGTGGACGTGGTCGTGGACGTGGACGTGGTCGTGGACGTGGACGTGGTCGTGGACGTGGTCGTGGACGTGGACGTGGACGTGGACTTGGACGTGGACGTGGACGTGGACGTGGATGTGGTCGTGGACGTGGACGTGGACGTGGACGTGGACGTGGACGTGGTCGTGGACGTGGACGTGGACGTGGTCGTGGACGTGGACGTGGACTTGGTCGTGGACGTGGACGTGGACTTGGACTTGGTCGTGGACTTGGACGTGGACGTGGACGTGGACGTGGACGTGGACTTGGACGTGGACGTGGACGTGGACGTGGACGTGGTCGTGGACATGGACGTGGACGTGGACGTGGACGTGGTCGTGGACGTGGACGTGGTCGTGGACGTGGACGTGGACGTGGACGTGGACGTGGTCGTGGACGTGGACCTGGACGTGGACGTGGACGTGGACCTTGAGTGGACGGGACGTGGACGTGGACTTCGACGTGGTCGTGGACGTGGACGTGGACGTGGACTTGGACGTGGACGTGGACTTGGACGTGGACTTCGACGTGGTCGTGGACGTGGACTTGGACTTGGACGTGGACGTGGACTTGGACGTGGTCGTGTACGTGGACGTGGACGTGGACGTGGTCGTGGACGTGGACGTGGACGTGGTCGTGGACGTGGACGTGGACGTGGTCGTGGACTTGGACGTGGACGTGGACGTGGACCTGGACGTGGACGAGGACCTGGACGTGAACGTGGACCTGGACGTGGACGTGGTCGTGGACGTGGACGTGGACATGGGCGTGGACGTGGACGTGGACTTGGACGTGGACGTGGATGTGGAGGACTTGGACGTGGACGTGGACGTGGTCGTGGACGTGGACGTGGACGTGGTCGTGGACGTGGACGTGGACTTGGACGTGGACTTGGACGTGGACGTGGACGTGGGCGTGGTCGTGGACGTGGACGTGGACTTGGACGTGGACGTGGACATGGACTTGGTCGTGGACTTGGACGTGGATGTGGACGTGGACGTGGACGTGGTCGTGGACGTTGACGTGGACTTGGACGTGGACGTGGTCGTGGACGTGGACGTGGATGTGATCGTGGACGTGGACTTGGTCGTGGACGTGGAAGTGGACTTGGACGTGGACGTGGATGTGGACGTGGACGTGGACGTGGTCGTGGACGTGGACGTGGACGTGGACGTGGTCGTGGACGTGGACGTGGACGTGGTCGTGGACGTGGACGTGGTCGTGGACGTGGACGTGGTCGTGGACGTGGTCGTGGACGTGGACGTGGACGTGGACGTGGTCGTGGACGTGGACGTGGACGTAAACGTGGACTTGGACGTGGACGTGGACGTGGACGTGGACGTGGTCGTGGACGTGGACGTGGTCGTGGACGTGGACATGGACGTGGACGTGGACGTGGACGTGGACGTGGTCGTGGACGTGGACGTGGACGTGGACGTGGACATGGACGTGGACGTGGTCGTGGACGTGGACGTGGACGTGGACGTGGACGTGGACGTGGACGTGGACGTGGTCGTGGACGTGGACGTGGACGTGGACGTGGACATGGACGTGGACGTGGTCGTGGACGTGGACGTGGTCATGGACGTGGACGTGGTCGTGGACGTGGACGTGGACGTGGACGTGGACGTGGACGTGGACGTGGACTTGGACGTGGACGTGGACGTGGACGTGGTCGTGGACGTGGACGTGGACGTGGACGTGGACGTGGTCGTGGACGTGGACGTGGACGTGGTCGTGGACGTGGACGTGGACTTGGTCGTGGACGTGGACGTGGACTTGGACTTGGTCGTGGACTTGGACGTGGACGTGGACGTGGACGTGGACGTCGACTTGGACGTGGACGTGGACGTGGACGTGGTCGTGGACGTGGACGTGGACGTGGACGTGGTCGTGGACGTGGACGTGGTCGTGGACGTGGACGTGGACGTGGACGTGGTCGTGGACGTGGACGTGGACATGGACTTGGACGTGGACCTGGATGTGGACGTGGTCGTGGACGTGGACGTGGACGTGGTCGTGGACGTGGACGTGGACGTGGACGTGGTCGTGGACGTGGACGTGGTCGTGGACGTGGACGTGGACGTGGACGTGGACGTGGTCGTGGACGTGCACCTGGACGTGGTCGTGGACGTGGACGTGGACGTGCACATGGACGTGGACGTGGACGTGGACGTGGACGTGGACTTGGACGTGGACGTGGACGTGGACGTGGTCGTGGACGTGGACTTGGACGTAGACGTGGACGTGGACGTGGACGTGGACGTGGTCGTGGACGTGGACGTGGACTTAGACGTGGACGTGGACATGGACGTGGACGTGGACCTGGACGTGGACGTGGACGTGGACGTGGATGTGGAGGACTTTGACGTGGACGTGGACGTGGACGTAGACGTGGTCGTGGACGTGGTCGTGGACGTGGACCTGGACGTGGACGTGGTCGTGGACGTGGACGTGGAGGACTTGGACGTGGACGTGGACGTGGACGTGGACGTGGTCGTGGTCGTGGACGTGGATGTGGACTTGGACGTGGACGTGGACATGGTCGTGGACGTGGACGTGGACGTGGTCGTGGACGTGGACGTGGACGTGGACTTGGACGTGGACGTGGACGTGGACGTGGTCGTGGACGTGGTGGTGGACGTGGACGTGGACGTGGAGGAATTGGACGTGGACGTGGACGTGGTCGTGGACGTGGACGTGGACGTGGACGTGGTCGTGGACGTGGAGTTGGACATGGACGTGGACGTGGACGTGGTCGTGGACGTGGACGTGGACGTGGACGTGGACGAGGACGTGGACGTGGTCGTGGACGTGGACGTGGACGTGGTCTTGGACGTGGACGTGGACGTGGTCGTGGACGTGGACCTGGTCGTGGACATGGACGTGGACGTGGACGTGAACGTGGACGTGGAAGTGGACGAGGACGTGGACGTGGTCGTGGTCGTGGACGTGGACGTGGTCGTGGTCGTGGACGTGGACGTGGTCGTGGACGTGGACTTGGACTTGGACGTGGTCGTGGACGTGGTCGTGGACGTCGACGTGGACGTGGACTTGGACGTGGTCGTGGACGTGGACGTGGACTTGGACGTGGTCGTGGACGTGGACGTGGACGTGGACGTGGACGTGGTCATGGACGTGGACGTGGTCGTGGACCTGGACGTGGACATGGTCGTGGACTTGGACGTGGACGTGGACTTCGACGTGGACGTGGACGTGGTCGTGGACGTGGACGTGGACGTGGTCGTGGACGTGGACGAGGACGTGGACTTGGACTTGGACGTGGTCGTGGACGTGGTCGTGGACCTGGACGTGGTCGTGGACGTGGAAGTAGTCGTGGACGTGGACGTGGACGTGGACGTGGAGGAATTGGACGTAGACGTGGATTTGGACTTGGACGTGGACGTGGACGTGGACGAGGACTTGGACTTGGACGTGGTCGTGGACGTGGTCGTGGACGTGGACCTGGACGTGGTCGTGGACGTGGACGTGGTCGTGGACGTGGACGTGGACTTAGACGTGGACGTGGACATGGACGTGGACGTGGACCTGGACGTGGACGTGGACGTGGACGTGGATGTGGAGGACTTTGACGTGGACGTGGACGTGGACGTAGACGTGGTCGTGGACGTGGTCGTGGACGTGGACCTGGACGTGGACGTGGTCGTGGACGTGGACGTGGAGGACTTGGACGTGGAAGTGGACGTGGACGTGGACGTGGTCGTGGTCGTGGACGTGGATGTGGACTTGGACGTGGACGTGGACATGGTCGTGGACGTGGACGTGGACGTGGTCGTGGACGTGGACGTGGACGTGGACTTGGACGTGGACGTGGACGTGGACGTGGTCGTGGACCTGGACGTGGACATGGTCGTGGACTTGGACGTGGACGTGGACTTCGACGTGGACGTGGACGTGGTCGTGGACGTGGACGTGGACGTGGTCGTGGACGTGGACGAGGACGTGGACTTGGACTTGGACGTGGTCGTGGACGTGGTCGTGGACCTGGACGTGGTCGTGGACGTGGACGTAGACGTGGACGTGGACGTGGAGGAATTGGACGTAGACGTGGATTTGGACTTGGACGTGGACGTGGACGTGGACGAGGACTTGGACTTGGACGTGGTCGTGGACGTGGTCGTGGACGTGGACCTGGACGTGGTCGTGGACGTGGACGTGGTCGTGGACGTGGATGTGGACGTGGACGAGGATGTGGACTTGGACGAGGACGTGGACGTGGACTTGGACGTGGTCGTGGACGTGGTCGTGGACGTGGACGAGGACGTGGACTTGGACTTGGACGTGGTCGTGGACGTGGTCGTGGACGTGGACCTGGACGTGGTCGTGGACGTGGACGTGGTCGTGGACGTGGACGTGGACGTGGACGTGGAGGACTTGAACGTGGTCGTGGACGTAAACGTGGACGTGGACGTGGACGTGGACTTGGACGTGGACGTGGACGTGGACTTGGACGTGGACGTGGACTTGGACGTGGTCTTAGACGTGGACGTAGATGTGGACTTGGACATGGACGTGGACGTGGACGTGGACGTGGTTGTGGACGTGGACTTGGACGTGGACGTGGCCGTGGTCGTGGACGTGGACGTGGACGTGGACCTGGACGTGGACGTAGTCGTGGACGTGGACGTGGACCTTGACGTAGACATGGACGTGGACGTGGACGTGGACATGGACGTGGACGTGAACATGGACGTGGACGTGGAGGACTTGGACGTGGACGTGGACGTGGACGTGGTCGTGGACGTGGTCGTCGACGTGGACCTGGACGTGGACGTGGTCGTGGACGTGGACGTGGAGGACTTGGACGTGGACGTGGACGTGGATGTGGACGTGGTCGTGGTCGTGGACGTGGACGTGGACGTGGACTTGGACGTGGACGTAGACGTGGTCGTGGACGTGGACGTGGACGTGGACGTGGTCGTGGACGTGGACGTGGTCGTGGACGTGGACGTGGACGTGGACGTGGACGTGGATGTGGTTGTGGACGTGGACTTGGACGTGGACGTGGACGTGGTCGTGGTCGTGGACGTGGACGTGGACGTGGACCTGGATGTGGACGTGGACGTGGACGTAGTCGTGGACGTGGACGTGGACCTTGACGTGGACGTGGACGTGGACGTGGACGTGGACATGGACGTGGACGTGGACGTGGACGTGGACGTGGAGGACTTGGACGTGGACGTGGACGTGGACGTGGACGTGGTCGTGGACGTGGTCGTGGACGTGGACCTGGACGTGGACGTGGTCGTGGACGTGGACGTGGAGGACTTGGACGTGGACGTGGACGTGGACGTGGTCGTGTTCGTGGACGTGGACGTGGACGTGGACTTGGACGTGGACGTGGACGTGGTCGTGGACGTGGACGTGGACGTGGACGTGGTCGTGGACGTGGACGTGGTCGTGGACGTGGACGTGGACGTGGACTTGGACGTGGACGTGGACGTGGTCGTGGACGTGGACGAGGACGTGGACGTGGTCGTGGACGTGGACGTGGTCGTGGTCGTGGACGTGGACGTGGTCGTGGACGTGGATATGGACGTGGACGAGGACGTGGACTTGGACGAGGACGTGGACGTGGACTTGGACGTGGTCGTGGACGTGGTCGTGGACGTGGACCTGGACGTGGTCGTGGACGTGGACGTGGTCGTGGACGTGGACGTGGACGTGGACGTGGAGGACTTGAACGTGGTCGTGGACATAAACGTGGACGTGGACGTGGACGTGGACTTGGACGTGGACGTGGACGTGGACGTGGACTTGGACGTGGACGTGGACTTGGACGTGGTCTTAGACGTGGACGTAGATGTGGACTTGGACATGGACGTGGACGTGGACGTGGACGTGGTTGTGGACGTGGACTTGGACGTGGACGTGGCCGTGGTCGTGGACGTGGACGTGGACGTGGACCTGGACGTGGACGTAGTCGTGGACGTGGACGTGGACCTTGACGTAGACATGGACGTGGACGTGGACGTGGACATGGACGTGGACGTGAACATGGACGTGGACGTGGAGGACTTGGACGTGGACGTGGACGTGGACGTGGTCGTGGACGTGGTCGTCGACGTGGACCTGGACGTGGACGTGGTCGTGGACGTGGACGTGGAGGACTTGGACGTGGACGTGGACGTGGACGTGGACGTGGTCGTGGTCGTGGACGTGGACGTGGACGTGGACTTGGACGTGGACGTGGACGTGGTCGTGGACGTGGACGTGGACGTGGACGTGGTCGTGGACGTGGACGTGGTCGTGGACGTGGACGTGGACGTGGACGTGGACGTGGATGAAGTTGTGGACGTGGACTTGGACGTGGACGTGGACGTGGTCGTGGTCGTGGACGTGGACGTGGACGTGGACCTGGATGTGGACGTGGACGTGGACGTAGTCGTGGACGTGGACGTGGACCTTGACGTGGACGTGGACGTGGACGTGGACATGGACGTGGACGTGGACGTGGACGTGGACGTGGAGGACTTGGACGTGGACGTGGACGTGGACGTGGACGTGGTCGTGGACGTGGTCGTGGACGTGGACCTGGACGTGGACGTGGTCGTGGACGTGGACGTGGAGGACTTGGACGTGGACGTGGACGTGGACGTGGTCGTGTTCGTGGACGTGGACGTGGACTTGGACGTGGACGTGGACGTGGTCGTGGACGTGGACGTGGACGTGGACGTGGTCGTGGACGTGGACGTGGTCGTGGACGTGGACGTGGACGTGGACTTGGACGTGGACGTGGACGTGGACGTGGTCGTGGACGTGGACGAGGACGTGGACGTGGTCGTGGACGTGGACGTGGTCGTGGTCGTGGACGTGGACGTGGTCGTGGACGTGGATGTGGACTTGGACTTGGACGTGGTCGTGGACGTGGTCGTGGACGTCGACGTGTACGTGGACTTGGACGTGGTCGTGGACGTGGACGTGGACTTGGACGTGGTAGTGGACGTGGACGTGGACGTGGACGTGGACGTGGTCATGGACGTGGACGTGGACGTGGTCGTGGACCTGGACGTGGACATGGTCGTGGACTTGGACGTGGACGTGGACTTGGACGTGGACATGGACGTGGTCGTGGACGTGGACGTGAACGTGGTCGTAAAACGTGGACGTGGACGTGGACTTGGACTTGGACGTGGAGGACTTGAACGTGGTCGTGGACGTAAACGTGGACGTGGACGTGGACTTGGACGTGGACGTGGACGTGGACGTGGACCTGGACGTGGACGTGGACGTGGACGTGGAGGAATTGGACGTAGACGTGGATGTGGACGTGGTCGTGGACGTGGACGTGGACGTGGACGTGGACATGGACGTGGAGGACTTGAACGTGGTCGTGGACGTAAACGTGGACGTGGACGTGGACTTGGACGTGGACGTGGACGTGGACCTGGACGTGGACCTGGACGTGGACGTGGAGGACTTGGACGTGGACGTGGACGTGGACGTGGTCGTGGACGTCGACGTGGACGTGGACGTGGACCTGGACGTGGACGTGGACGTGGACTTGGACGTGGACGTGGACGTGGACTTGGATGTGGACGTGGACCTGGACGTGGACGTGGACGTGGACGTGGACGTGGACTTGGACGTGGACGTGGACTTGGACGTGGTCTTAGACGTCCAAGAGCTTGCCTGGTCCAAGAGCAAGCTCCTGGACCAGGCAAGCTCCTGGACCAGGCACGCTCGTGGACCAGGCAAGATCGTGGACCAGGCAAGCTCCTGGACCAGGCAAGCTCCTGGACCACGCAAGCTCTTGGACCAAGCACGCTCCTGGACCAGGCAAGCTCTTGGACCAAGCAAGCTTCTGGACCAAGGAAGCTCCTGGACCAGGCGAGCTCCTAGACCAGGCAAGCTCCTCGTCCAGGCAAGCTCCTGGACCAAGCTAGCTCCTGGACCAGGCAAGCTCCTGGACCAGGCAAGCTCCTGGACCACGCAAGCTCTAGGACCAAGCATGTTCGTAGACCAGGCAAGCTCTTGGACCAGCCAGGCTTCTGGACCAAGCAAGCTCCTGGACCAGGCAAGCTCCTAGTCCAGGCAAGCTTGTGGAGTAGGTGAGCTTCTGGACCAGGCAAGCTCCTGGACCAAGCAAGCTCTTGGACCAGGCACGCTCGTGGACCAGGCACGCTCGTGGACCAGGCAAGCTCAAGAATCAGGAAGGCTCATGGACTAGGCACGCTCCTGGACCACGCAAGCTCCTGGACCAGGCAAGCTCCTAGACCAGGCAAGCTCCTTGACCAAGCATGCTCGTGGACAAGTCAAGCTCTTGGACCACGCAAGCTCCTGGACCAAGCACGCTCGTGGACCAGGCAAGCTCTTGGACCAGGCAGGCTTCTGGACAAAGCAAGCTCCTCGACTAGGCAAGCTCCTGGACCACGCAAGCTCCTAGACCACGCAAGCTCGTGGACCAGGAGAGCTCGTGGACCAGGCAAGCTCCTGGACCAAGCAAGCTCCTGGACCAGGCACACTCGTGGACCAGGCACGCTCGTGGACCAGGCAAGCTCTTGGATCAGGCAGGCTTGTGGACCAGGCACGCTCCTGGACAAGGAAAGCTCCTGGACCAGGCAACCTCCTGGACCAGGCAAGCTCTTGGACCAGGCACGCTTCTGGACCAAGCAAGCTCCTGGACCAGGCAAGCTCCTAGACCAGGCAAGCTCCTGGACCAGGCAAGCTCCTTGTCCAGGCTTGCTCCTGGACCAAGCAAGCTCCTGGACCAGGCAAGCTCCTGGACCACGCAAGCTCCTGGACCAAGCACGCTCGTGGACCACACACGCTCTTGGACCAGGCAAGCTCTTGGACCAGGCAGGCTCCTGGACCAGGCACGCTCCTGGACTAGGCAAGCTCCTGGACCAGGCAAGCTCCTAGACCAGGCAAGCTCCTCGACCAGGCAAGCTCCTGGACCAGGCAAGCTCCTGGACCACGCACGCTCTTGGACCAAGCACGCTCCTGGACCAGGCAAGCTCTTGGACCAAGCAAGCTTCTAGACCAAGGAAGCTCCTGGACCAGGCAAGCTCCTCGTCCAGGCAAGCTCCTGGACCAGGCTAGCTCCTGGACCAGGCAAGCTCCTGGACCAGGCAAGCTCCTGGACCACGCAAGCTCTTGGACCAAGCATGCTCGTGGACCAGGCAAGCTCTTGGACTAGGCAGGCTTCTGGACCAAGCAAGCTCCTAGACCAGGCAAGCTCCTGGACCAGGCAAGCTCCTAGACCAGGCAAGCTCGTGGACTAGGCAAGCTCCTGGACTAGGCAAGCTCCTCGACCAAGCAAGCTCTTGGACCAGGCACGCTCGTGGACCAGGCACGCTCGTGGACCAGACAAGCTCTTGGATCAGGCAGGCTCGTGGACCAGGCACGCTCCTCGACCAGGCAAGCTCCTGGACCAGGCAAGCTCCTGGACCAGGCACGCTCGTGGACAAGTCAAGCTCCTAGACCACGCAAGCTCTTGGACCAAGCATGCTCGTGGATCAGGCAAGCTCTTGGACCAGGCAGGCTTCTAGACCAAGCAACCTCCTGGACTAGGCAAGCCCCTGGACCACGCAAGCTCCTAGACCAGGCAAGCTCGTGGACCAGGCGAGCTCCTGGACCAGGCAAGCTTGTGGACCAAGCAAGCTCCTGGACCAGGCACGCTCGTGGACCAGGCACGCTCGTGGACCAGGCAAGCTCTTGGATCAGGCAGGCTTGTGGACCAGGCACGCTCCTGAACCAGGAAAGCTCCTGGACCAGGCAAGCTCCTGGACCAGGCAAGCTCTTGGACCAGGCACGCTTCTGGACCAAGCAAGCTCCTCGACCAGGCAAGCTCCTAGACCAGGCACGCTCGTGGACCAGGCAAGCTCCTGGACAAGGCAAGCTCCTGGACCAGGCAAGCTCCTTGTCAAGGCAAGCTCCTGGACCAAGCAAGCTCCTGGACCAGGCAAGCTCCTGGACCACGCAAGCTCCTGGACCAAGCACGCTCGTGGACCAGGCACGCTCTTGGACCAGGCACGCTCCTGGACCGATCACGCTCTTGGACTAGGCAAGCTCCTGGACAAGGCAAGCTCCTGGACCAGGCAAGCTCCTGGACCAAGCACGCTCGTGGACTAGGCACGCTCCTCGACCAGCCAAGCTCCTAGACCACGCAAGCTCTTTGACCAGGCACGCTCCTAGACCAGGCAAGCTATTGGACCAGGCAAGCTTCTGGACCAAGCAAGCTCCTGTACCAGGCAAGCTCCTGGACCAGGCAAGCTCCTGGACCAGGCAAGCTCCTGGAGCAGGCAAGCTCCTGGACCAGGCAAGCTCCTGGACCACGCAAGCTCCTGGACCAGGCAGGCTCGTGGACCAGGCATGCTCCTGGACCGGGGAAGCTCCTAGACCAAGCAAGCTCCTGGACCACGCAAGCTCTTGGACCAGGCACACTCCTAGACCAGGCAAGCTCTTGGACCAGGCAGGCTCGTGGACCAGGCAAGCTCTTGGACCAGGCAAGCTCCTGGATCAAGCAAGCTCATGGACCTGGCACGCTCCTGGACCAGGCACGCTCCTTGACCAGGCAAGCTCGTTGACCAGGCACGCTCCTGGACCAGGCAAGCTCCTAGTCCAGGCAAGCTCCTGGACCACGCAAGCTCTTGGACCAGGCACGCTCCTGGACCAAGGAAGCTCTTGGACCAGGCACGCTTCGCGACCAAGCAAGCTCCTGGACCAGCCAATCTCCTTGACCACGCTAGCTCTTGGACCAGGCACGCTCCTCGACCAGAAGAGCTCTTGGACAAGGCAGGCTTCTGAACCAAGCAAACTCCTCGACCTGGCAAGCTCCTGGACCAGGCACGCTCCTGGACTAGGCAAGCTCTTGGACCAGGCAAGCTCCTGGACCAGGCATGCTCCTGGACCAGGCAAGCTCCTGGACCAGGCATGCTCTTGGACCAGTCAAGCTCATGGACCAGGCAAGCTCCTAGACCAGGCAAGCTTCTGGACCAGGCACGCTCGTAGACCAGGCATGCTCTTGAACGAGGCAAGCTCTTGGACCAGGCAGGCTTGTGGACCATGCACGCTCATGGACTAGGCAAGCTCCTAAACCAGGCAAGCTCCTGGACCCGGCACGCTCCTGGACCAGGCAAGCTCCTAGACCAGGCAAGCTCCTAGACCAGGCAAGCTCCTTGACCAGGCAAACTCATGGACCACGCACGCTCCTGCACCAGGAGCTTGCCTGGTCTAGGAGCTTGCCTGGTCCAGGAGCTCGCCTGGTCCAGGAGCTTGCCTGGTCCAAGAGCTTGCCTGGTCCAAGAGCTTGCGTAATCCAGGAGCTTGCCTGGTCCAGTAGATTGCGTGGTCAAGGAGCTTGCCTGGTCAAGGAGCGTGCTAGGTCCACGAGTTTGCTTGGTCTAGGAGCTTGCCTGGTCCAGGAGCTTGCCTGGTCCAGGAGCTTGCCTGGTCCAGGAGCGTGCCTGGTCCAGGAGCTTGCGTGTTCCAAGAGCGTGTCTGGTCCAGAAGCTTGCCTTGTCCAGGAGCTTTCTTGGTCCATTAGCTTGCCTGGTCCAAGAGCTTACCTGGTCCAGGAGCTTTCGTGGTCCAAGAGCTTGCCTGGTCCAGGAGCTTGCGTGGTTTAAGAACTTGCCTGGTCCAGGAGCATGCTTGGTCGAAGAGCTTGCCTGGTCCAGAAGCTTGCCTGGTCCACGAGCTTGCCTAGTCCAGGAGCTAGCTTGGTCTTGAAGCCTGCCTGGTCTAAGAGCTTGCCTAGTCCAATAGCAGGCCTGGTCCAAGAGCTTGCGTGGTCCACGAGCTTGCCTGGTCCAGGAGCTTGCCTGGTCGACGAGCGTGCCTGGTCCACGAGCTTGCCTGGTCCAGGAGCTTGCCTGGTCTAGGAGCTTGCCTGGTCCAGGAGCGTGCCTGGTCCACGAGGTTGCCTGGTCCAGGAGCGTTTGTGGTCCTGGAGCGTGCCTAGTCCACAAGCGAGCTTGGTCCAGGAGCTTGCCGGGTCCAAAAGTGTGCCTAGTCCACAAGCTTGCCTGGTCCAGGAGCTTGTTTGGTCCAGGAGCTTGCTTGGTCCAGAAGCGTGCCTGGTCCAAGAGCTTGCTTGGTCCAGGAGCGTGCCTAGTCCAAGAGCTTGCCTGGTCTAGGAGCTTGCCTGGTCCATGAGCGTGCCTGGTCCAGGAGCTTGCCTGGTCCCGGAGCTTGCATGGTTTAGGAGCTTGCCTGGTCCAGGAGCTTGCCTGGTCCAAGAGCTTGCCTGGTTCAAGAGCTTGCGTGGTCCAGGAGCATGCCTGGTCTAGGAGCTTAGTTGGTCCAGGAGCTTGCCTGGTCTAGGAGCTTGCTTGGTCCAGGAGATTGCCTGGTCCAGGAGCGTGCCTGGTCCAGGAGCTTGCCTGGTCCAGGAGCTTGCCTGGTCCAGGAGCTATCCTGGTCAAGGAGCTTGCCTGGTCCATGAGCTTGCCTGTTCCAGGAGCGTGCCTAGTCCAGGAGCTTGCCTTGTCCAGGAACTTTCTTGGTCCGTTAGATTGCCTCGTCCAGGAGCTTGCCTGGTCCAGGAGCTTTCCTGGTCCAAGAGCTTGCGTGGTCCAGGAGCTTGCTTGGACTAGGAGCTTGCCTGGTCCAGGAGCGTGCCTGATTCACGAGCTTGCCTGGTCCAAGAGCGTGCCTGGTTCACGAGCGAGCCTGGTCCAGGAGCTTGCCTGGCCAAGGAGCTTGCCTAGTCCAGGAGCTTGCGTGGTCCAGGAGCTTGCCTGGTCCACGAGCTTGCCTGGTCCAGGAGCGTGCATGGTCCACGAGCGTGCCTCGTCTAGGAGCTTACCTGGTCCAGGAGCTTGCCTGGTCAATGAGCTTGCCTGGTCCGGGAGCTTGCCTGGTCCAGGAGCTTGCTTGGTCCACGAGCCTGCCTGGTCCAAGAGCTTGCCTGGTCCAAGAGCATGCATGGTCCACGAGCGTGCCTGGTCCAGGAGCTTGCCTGGTCCAGGAGCTTGCCTGGTCCAAGAGCTTGCTTGGTCCAGAAGCCTGCCCGGTCCAAGAGCTTGCCTAGTCCAGGAGCGTGCCTGGTCCAAGAGCTTGCGTGGTCCAGGAGCTTGCCTGGTCCAGGAGCTTGCCGGGTCCAGGAGCTTGCCTGGTCCAGGAGCTTGTCTGGTCCAAGAGCTTGCATGGTCCAAGAGCTTGCATGGTCTCGGAGCTTGCGTGGTCCACGAGCTTGCAAGGTCTAAGAGCTTGCCTGGTTCTGGA